CACCCTGGAATCGTGCAGGATGTGGAAGTGATTGGCAAGGTACGATGCAGTGACCATAGAATGGTACGGTCTCGAATTCGCCTAGACTTGAAGAAGGAACGACAGAACTTGATACGCAAGAAGCCAATCAATCAGCTAGCACTGAGAGGGAAAGTACAGGAATTCAGAGTGTCACTGCAGAACAGGTACTCGGCTCTCAGTGAGGAAACCAACCTTAGCGTAGATACAATGAATGATAATCTGACGAGTATCATTATGGAGTGTGCAGTGGAAGTTGGAGGCAGGGTAGTTAGACAGGACACTGGCAAGCTTTCACAGGAAACGAAGAACCTAATTAAGAAGCGTCAAATCATGAAAGTGTCAAGTACAACAGACAAAATAGAACTGGCAGAGCTTTCGAAGTTGATTAATAGACGTAAAGTATGCGATGTAAGAAGGTATAACATGGAGAGAATTGAACACGCTCTGAAAAACGGAGGAAGTGTCAAAGCATTGAAGAGGAAACTTGGGATAGGCAAAAGTCGGATGTATGCACTAAGGGACAAAGAAGGCAAAATAACTACCAATATGGATAGGATAGTTAAGATAGCGGAGGAGTTTTACAGGGATCTGTACAGTAGCCGAGACAACCACGACCTTAATACTATAAGAACTAGCAGTAACCCAGATTACACCCCACCAGTAATGATAGAAGAAGTCAGAAAAGCTTTGGAGAGCATGCAAAGGGGCAAAGCTGCTGGTGATGATCAGGTAACATCAGATCTGCTGAAAGATGGAGGACAGATTGTGTTAGAAAAACTAGCCACCCTGTTTACGAGGTGTCTCCTGGCGGGAAGAGTACCAGAGTCTTGGAAGAACGCTAACATCATCTTAATACATAAGAAAGGAGATGACAAGGACTTGAAGAATTACAGGCCGATCAGCTTGCTCTCTGTAGTATACAAGCTATTTACAAAGGTAATTGCTAACAGAGTAAAGAAAACATTAGAATTCAATCAACCAAAGGAACAAGCAGGATTTCGAACAGGCTACTCAACAATTGACCACATTCATACTATCAATCAGGTAATAGAGAAATGCTCAGAGTATAACCAACCACTATACATAGCCTTCATAGATTACGAGAAGGCGTTTGATTCAGTAGAAATATCAGCCGTCATGCAAACACTGCGGAATCAGGGCGTAGATGAAGTATATATAAACATTCTGGAAGAAATCTACAGGGGATTAACTGCTACCATAGTGCTTCATAGAGAAAGCAACAGAATACCAATCAAGAAGGGTGTAAGGCAGGGGGACACAATTTCCCCACTGCTGTTTACCGCGTGCTTACAGGAGGTTTTCAGAAGCCTAGAATGGGAACAGTTAGGGATAAGAGTCAATGGAGAATACCTTAGTAACCTGCGCTTCGCCGATGACATTGCATTGCTGAGTAACTCGGGGGACGAATTGCAACTCATGATTAAGGAGTTAGACAAGGAGAGCAGAAAAGTGGGTCTTAAAATTAATCTGCAGAAAACGAAAGTAATGTACAACAACCTCGGCAAAGAGCAGCGCTTCGAGATAGGTAATAGTGCACTTGAAGTTGTAAAAGACTATGTCTACTTAGGGCAGGTAATAACCGCAGAGCCGAACCACGAGATTGAAGTAACTAGAAGAATAAGAATGGGGTGGAGCACATTCGGCAAGCACTCTCAAATTATGACAGGTAGATTGCCACTATCCCTCAAGAGGAAGGTATATAACAGCTGTATCTTGCCGGTACTTAGCTACGGAGCAGAAACCTGGAGACTTACAAAGAGGGTTCAGCTTAAATTGAGGACGACGCAGCGAGCAATGGAAAGAAAAATGGTAGGTGTAACCTTAAGAGACAAGAAGAGAGCAGAGTGGATTAGGGAACAAACGGGGGTTAAGGATATCATAGCTGAAATCAAGAAGAAGAAATGGACATGGGCAGGGCATGTAGCGCGTAGACAGGATAACCGCTGGTCATTAAGGGTAACTGACTGGATTCCCAGAGAAGGGAAGCGGGTTAGGGGGAGACAGAAGGTTAGGTGGGCAGATGAGATTAAGAAGTTTGCGGGTATAAATTGGAAGCAGCAAGCACAGGACCGGGTTAACTGGCGGAACATGGGAGAGGCCTTTGTCCTGCAGTGGACGTAGTCAGGCTGATGATGATGATGATGATTTTACTACTATGATTATCAGAATATCGAATGTTTCAGATTAAAGATCGAATTTTAACGCGATAGCACTAAAGAGCTCGTTTCGCAGAAATTTCGGTGTCGGTGTCGTTGGTTGTGAGCGAGAAATCATCATCCTATGCGTGACCGAAAAATCGAGAACGATGCAAATAAAATAAATAAATGATGAAAAAACCCTGGAGCAGAGTGGGGAACGAACCAGGGTTGTTTGGGTCCGAGTGTCGATCGAACCTGGGTCGAGACTTGTGTGGCAAGCGGATGTTCTACCGCACGGCCACGCCTCTGCTTGTGAAAACAATGAAAAGAACTTCCTCTGCTCGGAAATGCAGTGAAAGTAGCTTTCATGCTTCACAAACACATATGTCCTGTATACATGCGTCACAATGCAACGTGCAATATTGCAGTAATAATGTGTGGTACAAGCGTCCATTGCCAATGGGCGTCAGCATATGTGATTATCATAATGACTTCGTGTTTGAAAGCTGGTACCCCACTACGAAAGGCACACATACTACTGCGCCTATTCCTTGAAGGCTGCCGCGTACAGTAAGTGCATAGCAAATTCGAACAGGTTTCATGCACTAAGCGTTTGAAATAAGCACCAAGAACAGGATGTCCCTATCGCATTCAACTCATAAAGGCGAAGAAGCTTTAGGGTCCCCTAATTTTATTTTAGACACTCATCGGAAACTACTGCAAGCACTCTTGTATGGCACCCACTACACTCTGATAGGGTACACTCTGATACCTCTATGTATTTATATTTGATCTATAATACACATACAATCTGTTGCATGCATATAACATTGCACAGTACTGTAATTGCCCTGTCACAAGTATGTTTTCTTTTGTTTTGATTCATATTTTTCTTTTCTTGTTATGATCGAAGTGCACTTCTTATATCTACTTTGTTAAAACAATCTGTTCCTTCAAATTCATATTTTAGACCCCCTACTAGCAAGTGGCTATGATTCTAACCATTGTTGTGCGTTTTCATGTACCAATGAGAAATGAAAATAAAGAATGAAAGAATGTCAGGTGTATACTGGAAAATTAGACCAAAACGTCTCAGTAGTAGTTCCTGTAACTGGAAGTGGGCAGTCTTTCGCTCTAGCTTATCCCGAATGGGTTACCTGTGTACCACAGCCATGCGCACCTGCACTGAATGCATCCAATGATTAATTTGTCATCTGAGCTCACTGGCAGAGCTGTTGGCTCTCAGAGACAATATTAGTGGTAGTGACAGCATAAGCCCTGAGATCTGCTTCAGCGACATCGAATTCATCTTAATTTGCTTGTGTGCTAACAGTCATGTTGAAGCCTCGGAATGTCATTGCAGTAATGTACAGTGCAACGCGAGAACTTTATAGCAAGAAGCTGGGTGGTCATTGTTCTCTGTGGCCGGTAGATAACTTTCAAACAGCCTAATTTGCTACTTCTATAGGATTGTTGTCTTTCATGGTGCTAGCGGGAATCTAGCCCGTTGAAGGGAGCTCAACTTGCAGCTTATTTTGCCCTTGTCGATCCCTGTTCGGCAGATGCGGAGCAGCAGTCAGCCAAACACAGTAACATTAGCCAAATGAAGAACCCTTAATTACACTAGTGCCCAAAATATAGACAACATTTATAAAGGCATCTAGTGGCACCTTTGAGTTGAATGTGGCATGACCGCTTTGATGTCTTCTTATCTTCATGTAGCTGACTGATAATTTTAACAAAATGCCATGTCTGGTCTGTATATGTAGGGGTATTAGGACCTAGTGATACTGTCTTATACTATTAAAATGGTAACATTTTTGGCATTCTTTTATCCATGTTTCAGATGGAGCAATAATACCGCAACCTATTCTACGTGGTTAAAAAAAAAAAAAAAAAAAAAAGAGAAGAGCTAGAAATGAGTGTTCCTAGAGTGCTGTGAAAATAAAAAGGGTTGAATTCACCGAACTCTTTAATGGTAGTGATTAGCATAGAATCTTATTGCATTGCTGCAAGATTGTGATGAGCATAAGGTGTCCTGTGTGCCCTGAATTGTCGTCCACTTGTTTAACGGGAGCTTTTGCAGGCGCCATGCTAAATTTTTGGGTACAAGGAGCGTACACTTATATTTGGCTATCCAAGTGATCATTTTTGAGGTTTTCCTACTTTGACTACCTTGTCAACAGAATATTGTTTCCAGGGCATAGATAAATTAGCATATTTTTTTGACTGCCAATGTTGGGGAAGCGATTTAAAGAGCAGTGCTTAGGGGACTCAAATGAAAGAGGGAATTGCGGCTTGGAGGTCATAGAAGGTTCAGTGTGGGGAGATGGATGGTAGGTATGACCGAAACCATGGTTGGATCAGGGTCGACAAATTGACGCCATGGCTCAGTGCAGATCCATTGAGAGACAGTCTAGGGTTTTGCACCCCACGGTTGGTGCCCTTAGGGCTGCCCTCAAGTTTTGGAAACAGCGAAATTCAGTGATTTACTGCTTGCTACGTGTTTCCTTGAGGAACATTTTTGGAACCTGATATGTCATGCAGACTGTGGAGGGTTGCAGGGGACGGTTGCAGGAATGCTTGGCACTGTTCGAGTTTCATGTAACTAATTTGACTTAGGGCAAGGTACCATAGCAAATGCCATTTGTGAGATTACCTCATGAGTTATTGTCATATTTTTTATGTATATCTACTCTTTTGGGCACTTTAGAGTTTTCTAAGCCTATGTACAGCCACTCTACATTTGGCATTTTAAAACGTTTGCTTCATTCATCAACCACTTGCTTAGCACTCTCTGACTGTACTTGGCTCTTGCAGGAGTATTTTCTTGGATGTGAGAGATCAGTCCTGGTGGCAGATCTGGTGTCAGGTCAGTAACCCTTAAGGCTTTGATGTGACGACAGCCGTGGAAAAATAATGCAAGACTTGTGATCTATAATTACTGCAAAGGATTTATGGGAACTCGGCAGCCAGCAAGAGATGCATGGTTTCTTTCTCGTGCAGGACAGGAGTAGTAGCCTTCTGAGAAATGGCGCAATCAAGCTCATCTAGTCTGGCAGGTTCCAAACCTGGGGACCCCTCAGCAGCTGCCAAACTGGTGAGATATTTGATGTTCATGCGTTCAGAGTTTGCATGCTGTGTTGCAACTTGACCGATTCTCATAGAATTACACTGAACTTATTGTGCACACAATAAGCTGGGCAGCAGTAAGCTGGGGCGAGAAAAATTCTATAAGGTGAAGCATGGATTGAGTGAGTGAAGAAACTTTAATAAAGGGTGGCCTCATATGAGGCTTGTTGATGGCCAGAGCAATGCCTCCTTTATAAGACCATGCCTCTCAATTTTTGCGCTACTGAATGCCTCTGTTCATGTGCCACTCGCGGCGTGGTACTACTGACACTATGACACTGCTGAGAAGGCTGCTGAAACGTATGGACTGTGATCAAGTTGCCCTACACTCGTCGGGTGTTGTGTTGGGTACGGCACTGTATTTTATTTAGTTTTTGACTATACCAGTGAAGCATGGCTCAAAAGCTTACATACCCGCCACGGTGGTGTAGTGGCTAAGACGCTTGGTCGCAGGATCGAATCCCGGGCCACATTTTTTATGGGTGCGAAAATACTTGAAGTCCCTGTGCTTAGATTTAGGTGCACATTAAACAGCCCTAGGTGGTCGAAATTTGCGTAGCCCTCCACTCCGGCGTCTCTCCTAATCATGTGGTTTTGGGACGTTAAGCCTCAACTATTATTATTATCAAGAGCTTACATGGCAAATATTTCATGTGATGCAAGCAGTGTGATTGCATGAGATAGCCTTCACATTCATTTCGCGATTTTGTTTCCATCACCCAAATTTCGTTATAAGTGAACCACATGGAACATGTAGCTATTGCATGTTTACACAGAGTACTTATCTAAGCATGTCTAGAAGGCAACAGTTCACTTGGCAAACTACAATTGTGACAGCTTTTGCAACAATGGCTTCTTTGCATACATTAACAAGTGAATTATTGTCTGGGATATCAAAAGCGTGGTTATTCAGCAGTGTCGTCATGAATTCATGGCACAAAAGTTGAAGTGCTTAGCTGTTCTCTTGCACTTCAAAACAGGGAAGTCCACAATCGTGTTGATATATGTTCCGTACTGGTTTCTAGTGGCTAGGAAACGGACATTTTGTGAAACAGCATGATGTTGACAGACTGCTTGAAGCCTTTCAAGAAAGACACTAGCTCTGGCTGGAAACATTGCTTTCGACAGCTGAGCGCTTTGGCATGCACCAGCTCAGCTACAGTGCATGCCATGTCACTCAGTGCAATGCCTATAGCGTTTCTCAGGTTAAGAGCTACGTTCGAGCAAGGTTGCCTGTTGGCACTAACCCTGGTTGCACAACTATATCTTACCGACACCAGAACAATAGTCTTCAAAGTCATCAAAGCTGGCAGTAGTTATTGCTTTACACTTTTTGATAGCCTTTCTCTGGCTGCATTGAAGTTCAATGCTGTACTTTTGAATACGTCTATTGCAACATACCTTGGCAAGTGCAGGCTTCATATACAAGTACCAGACGAGGATTAGCTTCAGAGCACCCTGGGCACAGCTTCCTTGTCGAATTTTGGTGCTGCCTTCGAAGCCAGGGGCAAGTGATGCCCACTGCAAATGATAGAGTAATTTGGTGCTGTGTTTGTCTCCCACTTTTAAAACCCCAAGATCACCAGTAGCCATTGTTGTCACAGCTTGAAGTTGACAGAAATCTCAAGGAATACTCTAGTGTCCTTGTTTTTTGCATTTGGTGTCCACATAGACATGCAATAGTGCCTCATATAAGCGCTGTCTGTTCACAAAACAGCTGCAAATTACACTTCATAACATAACATCAGGGGTGGAACAGCTGTGCCTTTTGTGTCATGGTGCACCAAACATGTTTACATTTGCCATTCTTCAATGAACCACCCCTATTTCACCAAAATTGGGGATCAGCGCCGAACTGCGATGCAGCACCAGAATTTAGCTGCAAGGTGCGACAGCCACCAAGCTCCGTGCTTGATAACATGGCTAAAACATCGCATTTTCAGTTTCATTGAGCTGTTATATTTTAGGTTTCATCAAGGCTGTAATAGCTCGCGCAGCAGCTGTGAGCTTTGATTCTGAGGGCGTGGTTGTGATCACTGGCCCGCACGCTATTTTGACAGGTATCAGTACAAATGGCTCATAAATCTGTCCATGTGCTGTACTCTCCAATTGAAGAGACTGTGCGAAAAGAGCATCTCTCCTTGGTGCGGCCGTATTCTCTTACGCCACCGTTTTGTAGAGTTACACGGTATTAGATCCAAGAGTTAGTTGCCTGCTTTAATTTATATAACATTGCAATTAGTTGCTATCAGATTCATTGCTTTGTCATTTTGGGGAAACTGATTTTTAATAACTGGATGCAGTGTTCAGAAAATAAAGAAATAAAAAAAAAAAGACCAATGGTGCTCAAAAGAATCGAGAAGTGGGGGTGGTGTCCAGTTCTCAAAACACCCTAGCTAAGATGAGCATAGGACTTCTAATAGAGTGAGTCCACGTATTTTCGTTCATTTCGTCGCTGTGCTCCATTATGCAGCACTTATCAACTCAGCATAGCTGAAAAAGTCAGTTTCTCAGGTAAGGCAAAGCAATCGATGTGATACCAACAAATTGTTATACAAAGTTAGGCTGGGAGCTAACTCTTTTGGCTCCTATCTCATGAAATTATACAAAACGTCAGTGTAAGAGAATACGGCCCCTCCAGGGGCACTTTTTTCACAGTCTATTAGCATTGAGAGTGCAGCACATAAAAGTGCATGCGAGCCGCCTGCTGATGGCTGTTGCGTCCATGGAGGTGTAGTGGTTATGTTACTCGACAGCTGACCCGAAGGTCGCAGGAGCGAATCTCTGCTGCGGCAGCATCATTTGCGATGAAGGTGAAAATGCTTGGGGCTCTTGCTTTAGGTGCACGTTAAAGATTCCCAATGGGTCAATGTTTCTGGAACCCTCCACTACTGTGTCTCACAATCATATCGCAGCTTCAGGATGTTTTGCCCCAACAAGTATTATTCATGACTGCCTACATAGCGCATGCCAGTGATCGCGATCATGCCCTTAGAAGCAAAGTTGACAGTTGCTGCTCGAGCGATGTACCATGTACCCTGTTTCACCCCTGTGACATCTTTCTGTGCACGCGGACACCACCAAATAAAAATTTTCTTGCTTAATACCCGCAAATGAGTACGACAAGCATGTACAACACTGGTAGGCATGGGACACTTCATGCTAGTGCTTCATGCTCCACAAGTGGCAGGCACAGACGTATAAGAAAGGGAGACATAGATGAGCGTAATGTACTGGAGGGGCTTTATTGACTGACGTAGCCTTTATAAGGGAGGCATTGTTAGAAGCTCATATAGGGCTCCGTTGGCTTTCGCAGGAAGTCCTTTAAGTCTGATATTTGATTTGATTTCTTATGAGAGGTTTCTATGTTAAAGGGCACAAGGTTGGGTTGGTGTGGACGCATACCTGGCTTATTTGTCACTAAAGGCTGTGAGATGTTCCTGCGTGTGGCCCACGCAGATCGGTGGCCCCTTTAGTATATATTTTCCTGTATAACCATGGGTAGATCATGCTGTTGCTTCTGTAGTAGTTATAGTTTAATGTCTTCGACTGCATCATGCTGTTGCTTCTGTAGTAGTTATAGTTTAATGTCTTCGACTGCAGATGTGTCGAAGGTCTAGTAGTTTGCAAATCCTAAGGTCAGATGTGGACTCTTGATAATCCTTTCATGGTTCTAGAAGCAATGTTATTCGTTTGGTGTATTCTTTTTGGTAAGGAATCAGTGTGCATTCGCACCAACCCTTCATTGTTAGAAAGTCCCTGTTCGGAAATTTGTCTAATTTACCAGTTGAACCCTATGCTGACTTCTGTGATGGAGCCGGGAGATGGTGACGCTCTAGAGGTTACTCTGCAGTCGGTTACCCGTGCTACTGCTCTCTTAGCATTGCCTGGGTTTAGTGCAGCTTCATAGAATTGGGCTGCATTTGTGTACCTTAATTTATATTCACGTAAAGGACTGGGGCTTGGAGTTGAATGGACACTGTAACCAAGTCTCTCAAATACTTTCCCACCTGTGGTTGTTTGGAGGAGGTGCTTTTTCTGCAAGATGAGTAGAGCTTCAGCTAATTTTTCAGAAGTCCTAGGTCCAGAAGTTTCTCACTGGTGGGGTTCTTTGGTATGTGCAATGCAGTTTTGTGTACCCTTTGGTTTGAAGGTGGGTGGGTGAGGACAATGTATTTGCTTTTCTGTACTGTACTAAATTTTGTTCACTCCACACATGTGAGTTTATCTAATGATTCGACGCAAGGAAAGTTTATCGTGCCAATGTTTGGCAACCATGAAGCATTCAATATAGGAGAGGGAGATGCGTGGCCCTGCTATGTTGATCACACCTCAAAGTTTTCTTTATCGCCACTGGCATTGCTGGAGAAAAAAGTAGTAAGTGTTCTGGAGCACTCGAAACTGCCATGTGAATTGTGCCAAGACATATTTGGGCACTTGGTAATGGCTTCTCTCCTGTGTTTATGCTGCCTTCATCACACCCATCATTTGCATTTTTCCACCATTTCACCAGCACTTGTGCTGCCTTTTTTCTGTCTTGCTCTGTTGATATCTGCCAAAGTAATTGGTAGCTCAGCAGATATATTCAATCTCGTGCAGCCAGAGTTAAAGGACAAAAAAAACTTTGTGTGCGAGCCAACTATAGAAGCTAACAAGTTAAGGCTGCTGTCTAGGCTGCTTAGATTCAATGTTCTGCTACTATACAGTGTTTTTATTGCTTTTTTTTTTCATCTGCAAAGACAGCTGTGCTAAACTGTGGATATCTGTTGAGTGAGTGCCCGTTATGGCATGAGTCTAATTATTTGGTAGCCACTGCAATTTATACCGAAGCTCAATTACAGGAACTTGATTGCTCTAGGCAGTCAGAAATTTCACTATTGGAAAAAAAAAAAGAACCTGTTACAGTGACTGCCATTTCATCTGCTTCAGCAGATCGCTAATCGACAGGAGAAGTAACAGAATCTTTTTCACAGTAAAGTTGAATGCTTTGAAAGTAAAATGAAAAGACTGAAACACAGTAGCTTGCTAATAAGGAAATGCCCCAGCAACTGCATTCTTACTGATAAGTTTTGGGATTGTTAAGAACTTGAGGAAACTGTACATTATCAATCTAATCTTTTGTATTTCTAGCACAACCAAACTATTTATAGTAGTTTAAAAGTAATGTTACAGCAAAAAATTCTGGATTCGGGAGCTGCTATGAATCCTTGAAAAAATGATTTACAGGGTGCTTCAGAGTTCTTGAAAAGCATTAAATTTTGGCTTTTGAAAGTTGATGCGCTCTGTACTAGGGTTGGCTTGCTGGTCTTCTCTATACAGTATATTATTTCATGCTTGGTTAATTGAAACGAATGTCAAATATTTGGTTGGATTGTTTAAAAGCTGGCCAATTCAGAAGACAGCATTCTCCTGATTCATACTTGTTGCTCACCAAAAATATTACTTGTCTTTGTTTTTTCCTCATTTGTACAGTACGTTTCACTGTTAAAAGGAACGCTTGAGTGAGCATATGTCATACTGCTAGGTCCCCTAACTGCTCGTGGATCAGGAAACATGGTTCATGCACAGCTGCCATCTGTCAAGAGCAGTCGCAACATTAAACCACCAGTAATGTGCAAATCTAAGCCACTATGTTTTTCCAAAACAGGAAAATTCGGATAGGCACTGCAAGCGAGTGTTCCCTTTAGCGGTGGACCTGTCTGGACATCTTTGAGATGGTGGCTATAGTGGTTGACCATTTCTGCCTTTCCGGGTTTAACGCTTGTCATAAAACGAAATTCCCCCTTGAGTTTGCGGTATTATTATCCAGAATGTGCTGAATTCAAATGCTCACCTGGTCAGACAGCTTGAGCAGCATTTTTGTTCCAATGTCACAAAGGAAAAAATGAATGCACCATAAGTGATTGCATTGCGCACATTTTGTGAACCTTGTGAAATATGTTGTGCAGAAGCCCAATTACTCCCTGAAGTTTACCCTTGCTGGCCACACCAAAGCTGTCTCGTCGGTCAAGTTCAGCCCCAATGGAGAGTGGCTTGCCAGTTCTTGTGAGTGTGCACCATTCTCTGACTCTACTAGTAGTACAAGGAATGACGCTCACATTCTGTGAATACTATACAGTCGTGGTTGAACAGCATCTAGATACTGCCGGGCACACTGGGTATTTTTATTTCCATCCTCGTACACATGGCATGATTTATCTCAGTATCTGTATGTCTGATACATGCACTAAGTATGTCCTGTGTCTTAATGTGCATAATGCCGCTATTCCAAAATCACCGTGTAGAACGGCCGAACCCCCCTTCCCAAGCTGCGGCCGCTAAGCCACCTGAATAAACTAAAGGCAGTGACGTTTTATGGTTTTATCCCCAAAGTCCTCCAGCGAGGGTAGGCAAGAAGTTCTGTTTGCTTCTACTGGCTGAGTGGAGTCAAGTGCTTGTGCTGGCATGTTCTTCACAATAACAAGTGTCCATGCCTGCATGGCTTCATGCTTTCTAGATTTGTTTTTTTGCTGCATTGGTGCCATCGTTGGGGGCCACTGTGCTGTGCTGGGCACACCGGTGCTTTTTTCGCTCCAACTTTGATGCCTCTAAAGCATTACTATTGAAGTTTCTTCTGCATGATGCTGTGTTAGGAAGCATGCAAGGCTGCCTTGTGTCTAGTGGCTTCCACGCATCGGGATTTGAATGTTCTCGAGGATTAAAGTTTGACTTGCATGTAGTGGGATTATCCTGTATGCAAATTGCCGTGTTTACTCGAATATAGGCCGACTCTTATTCTAAGCTCTAAGGTTCAAAGCCCGGGGAAAAAAAACAAAAAAAACTTACCTCGAATGTGGGCCGAATGTAACAGCAAGGACAGCATTCGCAAAGAGAAAACATTAAACATGAAGATGAAACAAAGCAGTTGCTTCTTGATGCAAATAACTTGAGAAGCATAGTCTCTGGTCCTGTTGTGTGTGTTTCATTGACGTCGTTATTTTTGCGCTGCTTCTAGTTTGATGCCGCGCTCATTCCGAGTCGTCGTCGCTGATTTATTTGTCGCTGTCATCAAACAGTGCGCGATCCTCAGTGCCATCAAGCGGCAATGGATGTGCTACACATCTTAAAAGAGTGCACAATCAAAATTTCAGGGTTGTCCCCCGCTGCAGCCCTCCCAGTGGCGCATATTTTTTTGCCCCACTCCTAAGTCCCGTGTGGCTTGAACGTTGGACGGCGACTCCACTGCTAGGACAACTTTCCTTTTATAAGCGGCACCTCCTGTTTGGCCCCATTGAATTATGCCACACACAGACCACTCGAAGCGCGACTTGAAATGACAAACGGCTCGCCTCAACACTCGCCACAAAGATCAAAATGGCGACCAGCTGTTTACTTGGCTACTAACGACTATAATACCATCTAGGTGGCGCTAGTTGTGCACCACTTTTCTTCATGAAAAGTGGTGCATTTTTCAAAATCCTTGAATATAAGCTGACCCTGTAGTTTGATGCAAAGATATTAAAAAAAAAACTGTTGGCCTAGATTTGAAAAACACGGTAGATTCTAGCAGATATTGCACCATCAATAGTGAGTGTTTACCTAATGGTGTATATCTTGGTGTACAGTATCTTCGGGTTCTTCCTGTTATTGAAAGAGCTTTTTGAAATGATAATGTACAGTAGACTCTCAGTAAACGGAACCTTAAGGAACCATGAAAATAAGTTCCATTTAACAGGAGTTCTGTTTACTGAGAGGTGAACATGGCTGCAGAATACAAGCACGAAACCAAGCATTGCAGAGGCAATAGATCTATATAAGCATAGTTCCATTTAAGGGGGGACGTGGTTCTTGGGGCTCTCTCATTTATTTTTGAATCAAGTGTGACAAAAGTTGGCATGCTTAATTAGTTTGTTCTCCAAATTCTAAAAATGTAGTTATTTTTTCTGTAGCTTCATTAGTTAAATAAATAGTCAAGATAACAATGTCTATTGTTCTTACCATAGTAGAAAAATAACCACCTGTCAAAAATCTTAAATAGCATAGGGTTTGACAGTAGAAAGTATAAGACATGCAACATAAGAAGCACTTTTTTGAATGGGTCATTATTTCTTACTTTACAGTACAGTAAACTTCATAGCCCTGAATATGGCCATTCTGTTGTCACACAAAAGACTAGTTTGAAAAACTTGCATTAAGAGAAATCAAAATCTGCTTCCTATGTTGTGTGCTCCAAACATATAGCTTCATGCTGCAAAGTAAAATATTCTGCTATCTGTAATAGTTTCAGATATATTGCATTAATTTTCATGCAGGGTGTACTAAATTGCCATTTTGAGAAAATGAAGAAAACAAAAAATTCTAACATTTTTAACTGTAAAAACGTATGCAATTATAATTACATAGCCATTGACATATAAATGAATGCTAGAAAGCCTAAGGAGTGCAATGCTGCAAGCTGATCGAAAATTGAACAAGTACTTCTCGAATTACAGCACAGTAAAGTTCATTGCATGTAACCAAGTACAGAAATTCTAATATTAAAATAAAGAAAATGAAGCTGCCCATTAAAAATAGGCTCCCAGCATTGTTTTTTGTGCACATTCAGCTACATTGTGCAAAAACAGTTACAGCTCTAGTTGTCCTAGGTCCACTTTTACCGAACAAGCAAAAGAAAGTGGTCAAAATCTGCTTCGAGAATAATGCTGTTAAAACTTAATTTCGCCGTTTCATTTTTACGTAAGACTTACGTAATTTCGCCGTTTCTTTTTACGTAAGTTTCTTTTTACGTAAGACTGCTGCATTTTCGAGTGGACATCGCGACAAAGTTGCGAACACGTCGTTAAAAGCAGTGTACCTGTTGCCAGTAGCCTCCATTGCGAGGGCCGCGAGCATGTTCACTGCGAACGGATTGACTTTCTGTTGTTGGTCGACGCGCGGCGTACTCCACTCTGACGACCCGTCGCGCAGTTCAAGGTCCTTGCGTCAGGCGGGAGGAACGACAACATCGGCGGGTTTAGCGATAAGACTGCACTTCCGTTCCGTAACTACAAAGATTGATATCTCTGGTAGCTTCACCTCTCATTTTTACTTGCCGTCCTCTAACTGATGAGGCTGCAAAACACAGCCGTTCTCAGTAACGTTGTCGGCAACCAACAGGCTCGTACGTGAGTTAGGCCTACACCGGTGACTCGGCACAATGTTGCTTGATCTTTTGGCTTAGAAATGTCCAAGTTCAGCACAGAATGGCACGCTCTCAACTGGAGCGGGAATGTATGTTTTAGAGAATATGAGAACACGTTAACAAGTTGATAGTGCTTCAACCACCACAGTTTAGACTATTTTAGAAGTAATTGACATTTCAGTGCCCAAAGTAACTTCAGCGGTATGCACCAGAAATCAACATCGGTGCATGCGCCGCTCCCGCGAATGAACATTCGCGTCTAGCATACTGTACGTCTATCATAGGCGTGTGCAGGATTCTCCTTAAGGAGGGGGGGGGGGGGGCAAAAGTTTGTCCCAGTGCCCCTCCCCAGGGCTGACTTAGCACCCCCTCCCTATTATGTTAATATATGGAGTGGAGTTGACATTGAGCTCTCCCCCCCCCCCCCCCTTCTCTCTGCGGTGTATGAGGCGTGGCTGCCCTCCTGATCAGGTTTACAAACCACCGGGTTTCTACACCTGCACTACCAAAGTTACTAACAATATCTTGCATATGCTGATACCTTCAGTATATTTACACAACATATTTTATATCAGTCAACTTAATAATCACGCCTGCAACTTCATGATCTGACAGACTTAAGTCAGTCATAATACTACAATTGAGGCCAGAGTAGCAGGCCTTCGGCTGATGTGTGTGTTCGAAATATCCTCTAATGCAACAAAGCACACCTGGTTCTTATTGATACAACTGATATTGGCCATAAGATAGGAACCAAATACTGCGTAGAATGCCTTCAGGCATTTTTCATAGTCGAAATGTGTTCTAATGCAACTAACTGTGCCTGACACTTCATGATGTGACAGATATCGGTCATAATATTGCAACTGACCCCTGTATGGAGGACTTCTGGGCGTTGTCTTTAGTCAAAGTATTCTCTAAAACGACAAATGACACCCAACTGTTCATGAAGTCACAGATAGCGGTCATAATATTAGAACTGAAACCTTAATGCAAGACTTCTGGACGTTGTCTTTAGTCAAAGTATTCTCTAAAACGACAGACGACACCCAACTGTTCATGAAGTCACAGATATGGGTCATAATATTAGAACTGAAACCTTAATGCAAGACTTCTGGACGTTGTCTTCAGTCAAAGTATTCTTTAAAACGACAGACGACACCCAACTGTTTATGAAGTCACAGATATCGGTCATAATATCAGAACTGAAACCTTAATGCAAGACTTCTGGACGTTGTCTTCAGTCAAAGTATTCTCTAAAACGACAGACGACACCCAACTGTTCATGAAGTCACAGATATCTGTCATAATATTGGAACTGAATCCTTAATGGAAGACTTCTGGACGTTGTCTTCAGTCAAAGTATTCTCTAAAATGACAAGCGACACCCAACTGTTTATGAAGTCACAGATATAGGTCATAATACTGGAATTAAACCCTTCATGGAAGGCAGCCAAAATGTTCTTCAGCGCAATAAAACACACCCGACACATCATGATGCAACAGATATTAGTGACCAGATTGGAACCGAGCACAGCGTGGAACACTTTTGGATGGTATATTTATTTATTTTCAAATACGGCTGCTCACTGTGAGGCTACTTCAAAAGTGACGTACATATATACAAAATAAAAGGATTTAAACAGTAATATCACATTAAGTGTGCCAAGGTAAACAAATATCACTACCCTTGAGTAATAAATGAGAGAAATAGGACATTACTATAATACAAGTGCCTCCAAAAAGTCATACACACTGGTATTAGAAATCAAACCAAGTAGATAAATCCAGTGTTTCATAACTTTATTTGAATGTGTTAGATAGCACTACAAATGACTTCTAAACTGGGTGGTGACTGCGGATCAGTGCTGTGTTGAAGACTTCA